AGGGTAGGACAGCACACCAACACGTAGTGCCTGATTGTCTGCCCTGCCAAAGGGCAACCAGTGTGGTGGAAAATAAATAGAGAGCAGCTGAAGGGTGTGCTGTGAACTCACTTGCACCTCAAACCCATAATCCAGGACCTGCTGCTGCCAGAGCAACTTTTGGGGCAACCCAGCCACAAGGGAGGGTGCGAGGGAGGAGAGAGAATTGGCAGCTCACTGCACTCCCCATAAAGCCTCCTTGGACTCCCAGCACAACACAAAGTGGCGTCACTGGAGAGAGCTTCAACTTCTTCCCATTTTTTTTTGCAACCTGGGAAGTTTCAGTCTGTTTGGGAATTTCAGCCCCCCCCCAGGGTACGCAGGAAATGAGCTGAAAACACCTTGAATCTCCCAAGAATCCTCCAAGGAAGGAAAGGACTGACGTGAGTGTAGCAGTTTAAGATTCCTGGATGATGCAATGATGCTGGCAGCTTGCAAACACAAGGAAAAGACCCAGTTGCCAAGGATAATTACATTTAAAAGAATGACAAGGTGCATTTGACCTTGTTAGCTTCCCAAATTTTCATGCTCCTTTTAAAGGTCACAGTCATTTGAACCCAGTCCTGCTACATACACAAAACTTTGCCTTTCTCCACAAGGCTGAAAACATGGACTAGATCCACCAAGTAAGAAAACACATCAGTGTGAGTGTAGTGAGAGCAGCTGAGAAATGGCATCCCCTTTCCACAGCTTGGCAGCAAGTGGCAAGAGCTGCAGGATGCCCAGAGATACAGAAATGCAACATCAGTTACTGCAGACTGGTCTGCAGACCCAAAACGCCTGGAGGCAGCCCCTGATGAAGCTGGTGGCTTTAATGAAGGTTCAAGCAGCATCCAAATGCTTGGCACTGCCCCAGGCAGTGCAGACACCTTCCAGTGACATAGGGTGCTCCTCCAGCCTGACTGCAGGCACTAAACAAACAGCAATGCAGAAGGAAAACATTTCATTTTTGCCAGGCTGGGAAGCAATGTGTGGAGTTAGAATCAGAGGTGGATGGCCCAGGAAAGAGAACATGGCCATGCACGACAGTTCCTTGCTAGTCCTTGCCTGTTAATGCATGGCCCAGGAGTGCTGCTCCAGAGCATACTGAGGATATAAATCCCACTCCCTGGGTTTTTGGTTGTCCACCACCCTCAAGCAGCCTGTGCACTCCTCCTCCTACTGCTACAGTAACAAAAGCAAGAGATTTTCTGTGTCCATCTTTACAGTCAGCACAACACTGCCTTCCTGCCTGTTAGTATGTTTGCATTCCCCATCCCTCAGCACAAACCTCCTGTGGTAAGAGTATCTTCTGAGCTGAACAGAATTCATTTGTTCTCCTTTCCTGGCATGCTAATCCCTTGATGGTTACTTTACCCCATGAAAATTAACATTTTGAGACTCTTCCAAGTTTGCAGCCAGACGGTGGCTTGGTGCAGCACACAAGGCAAAGCTTTTGTCACTGCACAGGCTGAGCACAGGCAGATAATGAAAGTGTTAAATTCTGCAAGTGCAGCCATATGGCAAATCTGAGCTTGTCACCATAAACTAAGAGAATCACTTCAAGGACTAAATGGGGAGCTCACCTACTTTGCCCATCTGTCCCAGGACCAGTTTATTCGTTTAAAAAGGTGAAATAAGCTACCAGGAGGACTGCTCTGCACTGATACATTGGCTTCCAGGCTGGTTTAGTTTCATGCTGGTGTCACAGAGCCATACACTGCACTGCAGAGAAGATAAAATCTTACACAGGTTGCAGGGACAGCCACGGGTCATCAGCAACCACAGAACTGAAGCTGGCAATATATCTCAGATTCCTTTGTGGATACAGGTTAGTTTTCCCTCTTGAACCAGATGATCAAAAAGTGGCCAATACAAGAAGGATTCAGTGCCCAAAAATGAAGAATTGGCTCTGAACACACAGCTATTTCCTCCTACTCAGTGCCTGGCTCCGTAGTTCACCTCCTTCCCAAAACTTGGCCTGCCATGAAAACATACTGAAATTTGGTCCTTGCCCCTGTGATGGTGGGTGGGCCACTCAGAGCCAGGTGTCAGCACACTTAAAGCAGAAGCTCACTGGGTGTTTAACAAAAATTGTTGGAGTTGTAGTATTTGTCAAAAAAAAAAGCAAAAAAAAAAAAGATAAAAAAAAAAAAAAAGCTCTAAGTGGTCAGAGATTTGGCACCCTAAACCTCAGAAAATTTTCACTTCAGTTTTACTTGCCACAGCTACTCATCTGAAAAGACAGGAGCAAAACCACCTCCTCATTTCATAGATGTGCTGTGAAAATAAGTTCCTACAAGTAACTTTTTTTCAGGAGAAAGACAAGGTTTTCTTTGCACCATAGTCAAAATTCGTCACATCTCTCCAGGAACATTCCCCTACCCTCAAACCCTCCAGGCCCTCTGGCACTCCTTCCCAGAGGCATCTCCTCCATTCCTCTGATTTTCCCCAAGCAATGAAGCAGTGCCAAAACAAAAGGACTTTGCACAGGTTGCAGATGTGGCAGCACTTGTGCAGTGCTCCAGTCTCTTCTGCAGCACTGCAGTGGATGCACAGCCCCTGTACCATTCCCTCCAGCCTCCACACAGTGTGAGAGGATCTCTGGACTTTCATGGCTTAATCCAGCAGGGACAACAAAATTCTCCCATCATCCTTTACATGTGTTCTTTCAACACAGCCTCAATACAAATTTTTTAACAGTTTCTGCAAAAGCAGACTGAGAAGGAAGGAGACAGTCTATCAGCACAGGACATCACAACCCACACTTGCAGGTCACCTTGCCTCCAGCCCAAGGCTCTTTGCTCTTCTCTGCTCTCTCTCAAAGATGCCCAATTTGTGTCACATTGGCAATGGATTGAGCTGCTGCCTCCCCACCATCACCTGAGCTTGAGAGATGCTACTCAAAAGCACAGGAGGAACCTCATCTTGAGTGCCCCAAAGCACACCTCTGAGTGAGATGGACATTTCAGTCAACTGATGTCTAACTTAATTCCTTCAGAAATCAAATCTCAGTAGCAAGCCAGCACCATAGCAGCAAACTCAAAGCAGAAAATTGGCAAGTTACAGCAGGGCAAGATAAACTTAGGAGTACTATCAAAATCTGAGAAGCTCAGACACTGTTTTGAGTGTCTGGCCTGGTGGTTACTTTTGACTGAGCAGCTGAGAGCCAAGCCCCAGCAAGGATTAGGTGAGGGAGGAAAGGTGCTGCAAAACACTGCCATATGCTGAACCTCTCTTAGTATTAAATCAAAGGAGACTAGCAGAGCCCACAGGGCTGCCTGATAATCTTGGGCCACCAAGGGAGCTGCTTAAAATCACATTTTTGCCAGGCCCTTCTAGTTCATTACCCTGGTCCTGAGCACCAAGTTGGTAAAAATCATGAGTAGAAGCTGGCATATTACAGACATTTTGGAATTAAGAACACAGGAACAATCAAAAAGCATCACACCAATTCCCTGGTAGCTGCAATATCCACTTAGATGCCAAATACTGGGAGCCTTGTTGATGCCCTAGACAAATCCACAGCAATGTACCTCAAAGCACCACTGCACACTTGCCTGAAGGTAAATACTTCAGACAGACCAGGTAGTCTTGCTACAGAGTACTGGAATATGGTTCCAGATCTCTCTCTAAATGCCCCAGCAGTTTTTTAGCATGTTTTCCTAAAGCTTAACAGAAATGTGTCAAGCTTACCTATTTTTTAAAACAGTGCGTTTTAATCTGCATTTTAAAATTGCTACAATTCAAAACCAACAAACAGCAGAACAAACACTGATTATAAAAGAGCTTTAAAAGTGACACATTCCTATCAGATGAGAACAGAAAAAGTGCTGTTACTAAAGTGAAGCTTGCTTTCCTACACCAGATCAAAAACAGACACCTAGAGACAACCATTGCAAGTCTATCTGCAGTGTCAGATCTTAAGAAGGCAGCTTCTGCTTAATCATTCACAGCTCGTGTGTCACCACTAATTCAGATCTCACTCCTGATTAAGGCCCAGCACACCTAGCAGTACACTGTCACAGCTCAACCACCTGCATTATCTGTCCCAAATTTAACTGAGCAACAGAGCCCAGAGTGGGGGATCACAAGCAGAACAAAACCTTGGGAGAGAAGTTGAGACCAATACTAATTTGGTGTTAGCCTTATTATTTCTGGATTACCAATAAACTCAGCAGGAGGCAAGACCAGCCCAGCATCCTCTTCCCAAGCTGTGGCAGAAACTCAGAGGTAACAATGAAATGGGATCATCTCAGTAAGGCTAATACTGAAATGATCATGATGTTCTTAACTCTGTCAAGTATAATAAAGATGCTTAATCCATTAAGAAGAGGTTGTTGCCTAGATTATGCAGGTTTTTGTTTTAATTTCAACTGATAGTATTTTCCCCACTTCACCACTCATCATACAGAAAATCCTGAATTTAAAAGAAACTCGTATGGTCTTTCAGTAGTTTTTAGGAGAGAGACAGAGTAAAGAAATAGCACTGGTATTAAACAAAATTTCAAACACTTTTGAATATCAAAAAGGAACACTGTCATATAAATCTGACTGTCTACAGAGACAGAATAGAATCTATTCCTAAATTCTGTGCATTCAGACATAGAGTGAAAGAGAGGCTTGTGTTAAAATAGGAGACTCAACTAAAAAGCCCAAATGAACTATCATGCTGCCTTAAAATTAGGTTGCAATTCAACACATGGAATGGAAAGATCATTTTGAATCTTCTTTTTACAAAGCTCCTATTATTAAAATTTTATTTTATATGAATTCTTACACCCTGCCCTCTACCGCTGGATAAATTAAGACATTTGGTTTCATAATAGAGCAGTAAGTTACAAAAACCCAAATCCCTTCAGCCTGACTCTCAGTAATAAATTCCAACTTAACTGGAAAGTCATGTCACTCTGTTTCTGATGGTCAAGGACACAAGCCTCTGACTTTTATTTCACATAAAACATTGAAAATCATTTTCTTACCGTGCTCCAATGACATCGAAGAGGTGCTGCCAGCGATCATTGATTTTGTTGAGTTTATCATCTATTTCTGCAACTCGGCTCTTGTTGCTAGCCTTGATTAGCTGATCACCCATTTGTTTCAAGTGAAGCTTATTTTCACTGAACAGGTTTATTTCTTCCATGCAGTCCTGATGAACATACACAAACATTGCTTTAATTATGGGACAAACAAAACAATGATACCGAAACAAAAATATGTGTTTCTTTTCCCACGTGTGTGACGCAAAGTCATGTTTGGCTGAGGTTTCTACATTAGCATGTAGAACTCTCACTGAAAACAAAAACAAAACCTCAATGAAGAAGCCCTCTCACAATCTATGAAAACATAAGCACTGAAAGACTTGCAAGTGCTGGGAGTAAGTATTCCTAAAAATAGCAATTGAATGTTCTAATTTTATCTGTCATTCTCCTGATTTAACATCACTTTTCAATGAAGCTACTTCAAAAGGACCCAAATTCAGGTCTAGGATGGCTTTATTTTGCTGGCATTCTTATCCAGAGGAGATCTGGGATTAGATACTGAGATGTTTTAGCCATGAGGAAAAACAGCAGAACAATAATGGTTCTCTTTAAAATCAAGCTAATACAAAAATGTTAGAAAACACCAACTACCATGGGGAAAAAGGCAGAATTATTTTTGGTTGTGGTAACTTCTTGCTCACTTGGCTTAAGACCTACCCCATCCTTCAGTCTTTTCTTTGTCTTCAAAAGACACCAGTTGTGTGGATGATGGAGGTGGTGGGAGCAGTGAGCTGCCCCCGGGACACCACTCTGAGCAGTGCTTGGTGTTCACGTGTGCCCCAAAACCCCAAGAACCCAGACCCCACCACCACAGCTCACACAGATCACACTCCATGACTAAATGCAGTCCAGTGGCATTTCTGTTCTGCTTTAAGCTCCAAGTCTGAACATCAAGAAGAGATAATGATAGAAAAGCTCATCTCACAAAAGCCTGTATGTGCTGGTTTTACACCACGTATCACTTCCAAGAAGCAAGGAACACACGAGGAATGGTGCCTCTATAATGAGTTATCGGACTGCAATTGAAGAAAAGTGCCATTACTATTTACCTTCTGCAATTTGTCTATCATGTCTTCAATGCTAACATCTGCAGTCTGCAACACCTTGCTTTCCATTTGTACCAGCCAGGAGCACAGCTCCTTATTCTTCTCATTGAACACGATCCAGGCATTGAGCCTATCCTCGATTTCCTGCTTCCGCAGGGACACCTAAGGAAAAGCACACACAATAAATTCCAGCAACGGCCTTTTCAGGAAGGAAACCAGCAATTATGAGCTTTCTAATTTCTAGTCTGCATTTGATCTTACTCTGTTTTGCAGGAGCAGTTATCAAGTATTCTACTTTCCTTTCCAAAGCCAGCAAGCAGATTGTTATTACATCTTATTTTGATGATAGCAGGGCAAAAAGTCGAGTAGCAAATACCAGATTCTCTCCCTCAGAAGAATAAAACTGTGTGACAGCTTTATAAATAATGTGCTTATATAATAATTTAAATGTTACACAGTGAAAACCTGAAAATGTCAAACACACAGAAGGAATATAAAATACATAATTACTGCATACTGTTTAGTATGGCCCCATTTATGACACAAGAGAAATAACA